ACCGTGTCACCCATGTTACCCTGCCCTTTAATCCTTACCCATAGGCTCTCCACTTGCTCTTCATCCACCCCGAGGCAGAGCTCCAGACATTCTGGTTGCTCCCTCACATAAAGAGCAACTCCACCACCTCGCCTTCCTGGCCTGTCTTTCCTAAAAAGCACATAGCCATCCATGACAGCATCCCAGTCATGTGAACTATCCCACCATGTCTCTGTCACTGCAATGAGATCATGGCCCTGCGACCGCACACAGATCTCTAACTCTTCCTGCTTATTCCCCATGCTGCGTGCATTGGTATACAGGCATTTGAGAGAGCCAGCCAAGCATGTAAGCTTCCCAGGAGAGGTGCAAGAGGATCCTCCATAGCCATGTCCCATGCTGTCTCCCCTGGCTGCATGTGCTTGCTGGAGACATCCTGACTTGAGTGGTGTTTTACTGATTATTCTGTCACTATACCACTCCCCTTCCCCCATCTTTCGTAGTTTAAAGCCCTCCTTACCAGGCTGGCCAATCTGTTGGCAAAGAAAGACGCGCGTGCCCCACTTGGTAAGGTGGATCCCATCGCTCCCCATCAGCTGTTGATCTTCAAACAGGGTCCCATGGTCATAGAAACCAAAGCCCTGTTGCCAACACCAGCGGCGCAGCCAGTTGTTAACTTGGAAAACTCGTCTACTCCTCCTCCTGTCCTTTCCCCTCACAGGCAAGATTGAGGAGAAAACCACCTGGGCTCCCAGACCCTTGACCACCATTCCCAGAGCTCTGAAGTCCCATTTGATGGTTTCCAATTTGCCTTTCGTGTCATCAGTAGGTGTAGAATGTAGAATACTGCTTGATAGCACCACTTCTGTACATCTGTTTAACTGTCCTTGAGAAGCCACGTTCTGAAGTTATGAAGGGAGACATACTCATAGCTTGATACTGAATAATAAAATAAGTTAGTTTTAAATGTTGTTGCTATTTAGAAGATGCCTTAATATACTTTCATCCTACTTAAACAGGAAATAATTCTATAAGGTCCAACCTCAACTGTCATTTAGGCTAGACCCAGTTTGGGGGATCTCCAAGGCTTCCCCTCTCATACATGCTTTCTGTAGGAGCCTGTATCCATTTCCTTATATGAGGAGCTCCTGTACCTCCTCCTTAACTTACAGCCAAGACCTGGGCTACTGCCTTTAAGGGATTTCAGATATATGGTTAGGCTGTGTTGATATGAGGGTGGGAGAGCTGCTGCCTCCAGCTACAGAAAGCAGAGCAGCAGCTTCTCATGCTGGGGGAGGCAAAGCATGAGGGTAAAGGACCCAGATCAGAGTGGAAAGAGTTGTGGGGGGAGGGGGGAGGGGGCCTACAAAATGTTATTTCTGGCTTCTGCCCCTATGCTGCTTTACAGCAGTGGCAGCTTTGGTTCCTGGTGCTGGATCAGAGCAGGAAGAGGATTTTATCTGTTTTGGCAGCCTTCAGCGCTGACAAACGGTTCCCCATGAGCTCCAGGAAAACAGCAACGGAACTGCAATGTGCTGTGGGCCAGACGTAGCATATGTGTATATACACACACATACACATGCACACACACGGAGAAATATACACATGGACATGGTCCCAGGTGCTTGTTCTGTGCTGTGCTTTGCAACTTCCGCTGTTGTGCCAGTACAAACTCTTCTAGGGTTGAGTTGTAAATGGTTATAGTCATATTACTGCTTGTGACCATTGCTTATATGAGTTCATATATATAACCTTCATTTATTCATTTATGTGTGTCTGTATGTGATAGGTGAGTCTGTATATAAAGCAGGAATAGGAACATTTGTTATTAATCCACATCTTTTTCTTGTTAATCTCATTTCCCTTCTAGGAAGACTGTGTCTTTATGATGAAGAACCCTACTGGACAGGCAGGGAAATGGAAAGATGAAGAATGTGTAACAAGCAAAAGCTATATATGCCAGAAAAATGCTGGTGAGTTCTCTTTCAGCTTCTAGTGCAGATGATGATTTATTGTGGTTATGTCACACTGGTGTTAAAAGTGGCTTTCTCGTATTAAACCCTATTTTAAGTGAAATTAATTTGATAGCATCATATGCACTAGGGAACATTTTAACAAGATGAGCATGCACTTTATTTTCTGGAGAAAAGCTCTTAACCATTCCTATTTTAGAGACCAGACCAATGAATTAAAAAACAAATCCTATGGATCACCGTGTATTTTACTATTTTTGATGATTAGGAAGGAAAGAGATATGTCAGTAAAGTATTTTGTCTTTAGGTGGGTAAATTCTTCAAAACAGAAATTTTACTCTTATACTTAAAAGCATTGGAATTTCTGCTTTGGAAAACTGCCCTGCTTGATTTCCTTGATTCCTTTAGGCAATTTTTTTAGCAGCAGTTATATCCCTCTCCTTGTTCACAGTGTATCAGTTTTATGCTCAGCTACTTATCTTACCCCATTTATTATCAGTAATTTTACGAATGCTAGTCATGGAAGACGTGGGGGGCTGTTCTCTTTGAAGCCCTATACAGATACATTATACTTCAGGAATATCTAGTGCATACAAGGGCATGTTCCTGGAGGTGGTATAGATATTTATGGCAAAAGGCTATCAAAGACCATTCTGATAAGATCATGGCTTTCACCACTGCAGTGATAATTCTGACATATCTTAATTTGTTATTGCAGCCTCTTAATTACTTGACTGCTCTAGTACAGTAGATCCTCTTTCAGTGATCTATCCATTATAAAGCATTTGACTTTTCTTCTTTGTTTATTACAGACCCTGAATTGCATAATTCCCAACCCACAGTTCCAGTCTTTGGCTTTAATAATTATGATGATGACCGTTATGCAATCATCAACTACAAAATGAACTGGGAAGAAGCACAAAAGAACTGCAAAGACCAATTTGCAGAACTTGCCAGCATTGTGGATCCTTACGCTGATTCTTACCTGTGGTTACAAATGTTACACCATGGGGAGCCTGTATGGATTGGTCTTAACAGCAACACAGTAAGACCATCAAATACTTGTGCCAGTCATACCTGTACTCTAGATCAGAATAGGTTTTGCATATTTGTTGGTCAGAGGTTAATAGGATCCAGTACTGAGGGCACTGTTTGCTCCTACACAAGTGCTATGAATCAGATCTGTCAACGTGCTACAGGTATCAAAGTCTTGCTGAGGTGCCTAACTTGCCTTGACTTCAGGGGTTTTAAACTTCTAAAAATCTGGCCAAAATGAAAGCAGGAACTCCCAAAGCCCCTATTTCGAAGGCTGCACTAGATAGTGGCTTCAGTGGTGAAAGTGGCTAAGAATTTTCCACTTCTTGCGCCATGGTTGCCACACGCTCATATGTGCTAGTACAGTTATTTCTGGGGACACACGATAAACAAGGCCATAGAAATAACTGCTTCCTCTTGAGGTTATTTTTACTCATATTGTTTCTATTTACTTCCTACCCCTACAAGCACTTGAGCTGGGGCAACAGGGGAAATGACAGGATGCAGCATAGAGGCAGGAACAGGCATCTGGAAATGGGAGTATCTTAGATTGGTGTCAGAATTGAAAAATTTCAGACTGCTTCAGTTAGTGAAGAGTTGAAAGCCTTGAAATGGGCACATGGGGAAGCATGTATTAAAGGCAGATGAAAAGGACATGAAAAAAGATGATGCAGTGGGGTATCGGTGGAAATAAACTTGAAAGGAAACTAAAAAACAGAGGTAGCACCGGAGCTGGGTGGGAAGTGGGAATGAGAGAGGGCACAGATGCTGAGGAGAGAGGAACTGGAGCTGAACTAAAGTGAGAGGAGGCACAGGGAAACCTGGGTTAGATAGGAAGCTGGGAAGAAACCTGGTGAAGGACTTCAAAGGAAAAAGGATGGTTAAACTGGTACAAAGAGCTGAATGGGAGCCTACATCTGAAGACTGAAAGAAGAAGGGGTCATGTTGCACAGAACAGGGGAAGAGGAGCAAGCCGTAGCTGTGACTGCTGTTGGTCATCCTCTGCACATCATGGTGAAATACACTGAAAAATATATATGTTTAGCTTGTTCTTGTAAGAGACGGGTCCTTATAAGAGGTAGAAACCTATTGCAAGTGCTGTTAACATGAGTGGCAGAGGTCCATAGCATCTGCCTAAGGATTCTAGCCCTGATGAAGATTGTGGTCAATATTTCTCTCTAGTAGAACTTCTGCTTTTTCTTTTTACTTTCTAAGTACATAGATAAGCCTATGTAAAAGGAAGACTAACACTAGTTTCTCTGCAATCTTTTATTTTATCCCTTTGTGCATAGGTATGGACCCCATCATAAAATCCTCAGTTCTGTATTCACGTTTGTACCACAAGGTCTTCTCCACATTTACTGCACAGGATGGGTGGTATGAATTTAATAATGCTAGTTGCATATTGAATGAATGTTTGTAGGACCACTGCTTCATCTGCTGTATAGAGACTGAAAGTTGGACCAGACTGTTAGGTATTCATGACAGAGGACTAGTCTTGCACAAGAAGCTGCAGTTCTGCTATTTCCTTTTTTTGATTCAGTTCTTGTATGTGAAGTAATCTTTATTGTCATTTACTTTTAGACTCATGGCCATTACATATGGTCAGATGGAAGGAGAACCAGGTATTATAACTGGGCCAGTGGAGAACCAAATAAGAACACAGCCTGTGTCTATTTAGATGTGGATGGTTTCTGGAAGACAGCATCTTGCAATGAAACATTTTTCTCTCTCTGTAAACAATCTGATGGTAGGTTGTGAATGGAACAAGTGTCATTAGGGAGGCTGGAATTTATATTCATGGCTTGATTCCAGTTTAGCCATTCCACATACATAAAGATTGTGATAGATGGTGTGGGTCTTGTGATAAACTATTGCTTTTGTTCAGGAAGAACTCTCAGATACAATCTGTCTTACCTGAATGATTTCCATAGTTTTGTACATTACATTTCATTTCACAGGCCAGTCAACGCATGCATGTCATAAAGTTAACTAACTGCAACATTTCATGCTACAGGCAATGGATCTTTATTTGTACTTGTTTGTCAGGGATTGCAGGATTGGTGCTCTTTAGCCTAACTACGAATATATTAATGATATATTTTTATACTTTAAATTATCTTTTATTATACTGGGAGATAAGAAACTTCAGTTAGTGTAACAAATAAAAGTAGCTGGAAGCAGGACCATGAAGTAGAATGCAACAAATATGTAAACAACCAAACTGACCTTTTGTAAAACTATATGTAGAGAGAGAGGTATTTATATGTATGTATATGTCAATAGATGTTAAGGATTAAATGAATGAATTTGTATTTGAGAAAAGTATAAGATCCTAGGAAGCTTCTGCTAAAACACTTTAGAGGCTCAGTCGTTGTACTGAAAAGACGTTATTGTCAAGTCTGTATTTAAATTATACTTGAAATTTGTGATATTTCCACCATACCTCGCAGTAAATCTTATGTTCATTTAAGCCCTAGTTGCCTTTAATCAGACCATGAAAAGGAAGCTAATTCTGCTTTTACATAGTTTAGGACATATGTGCACTTAGAATGAAGCTGCTTGGAAGCTGTGTGCACGGAAAAACAAAAAACATTTTGTGAAGCATGGAATAATATGACAGATGTAGAACATGCTTCAACAACAAATGACTGACGTCTTAGGAACACATCACTGTGTGGTTTTGTTATCAAGATTCTTTATGTATACTGCCTCATTCCTCATTCTGTTTCACAAATTTTAAGTCAAAATAACCCAGCTGAAGACAGTTGCAGTTAAACTGCTGTGAACCTCCTTTAGCAGATTGGAGATTTAACCTCAACCAAGGTAGTTTATCAGTAGTTTACCATCATTAGCGTAATATTTTATCATTACTTACATCTATGAGATGTTATTTCTACTGGAATCATTGTCACGCTGGTAGGGGCTACTTGTGGCACGTGCTTCCCTTGGCCTTTAAGACTCCATTGAAATCTATGTCTCCCTAACAGAGTTAATCCCTAGTGAACCACCACAACTTCCTGGAAAATGTCCCGAACCAAAGCGTGGTAGATCTTGGGTTCCTTTCCGTGATCATTGTTACTATGTTCACATTACTTCTGAAGAAAGCTGGCCTGATGCTTCCATGACGTGTATTCAGATGGGTGAGTGTCAGTTTTTATTAAGAGATTTCAAAGGTTATTCATGTTCAAAATAAAGAACCAGGTTGCCATCTAAATCTCATTGTTGTTTCACCTTTCCATCTTTCTACCATTTCTAGTAAAAATACAAGAATCTCAGAAATAGACAGGGCGAGGGATTAATTCTTTGTGGACTGCCCATTAAGACTTTAAGTGGCCTGAAGGCCTCTGCTTGCCTCTCTGAATCTCCTCCTCTGTTACACCTTATGTCTCTCCACTCACTCCATCACTGTTTTGCTTTTCCTGTCCACTTTATCCCACCATATTGATGGCTCTTCTGCTTTTTGTCTTTTCTTCCTTACCAGAAATTCTTAAATCTGTTCATAGAGGGTCTGTGTTCTTAGTTTCAGTTTGGTGCAGCCTTTACCAGGTTAAAGTCAGGTCACCCAAAGCAGAAGTATATAAATACCTGCTGA